GTTTGGTGGAATTAAATGTCCTTATCCTTTTGTATCTGCGGGACTCACGTGTGATATCTGTCTCTTTAGCAATCGTGACCTGCTTCATAACACTGTAATGTTAAAAAACATCAATGTTTGCACTCGTCCATAAACATTATTAGATCCATCAAGTCCCATCATTCAGCTCATCACTGCGTCATCAACCTACCTAATAGTCAGTGTTGGGAGTAACGCATTACAAAAGTAATACATTACAGTAACATATTACTTTTTGCTGTAACGCAGTAGTGTAAGGCATTACTAATCAATTTTCAGTAATATTTTACTCGTTACATGATCAGTGAGGCTTGTATTACAGTTGTATTACAGTGTATTGTCTGCTTTTACTTCTTAAAGGCAACAGACTATGTGAAAGTTTTAAAGCAGTCTTTTAGTGCCAGTTCAGAGCGGTCGCGTCTGTAACATTGTTTTTTCCTCATAAATGCGAACACGAAAACTAAAATAAAATGAATATTTTAAGTTCTATGGAGACTGGAGAGCCAACCCTTCCTCATCCGATTTGCGCAGTGTAATTAACAGAATTACAAAAAAAAATATTTTACCTCCTATTTTTTTGTCACGCATGAATGTGCGTCTTTTCCCTAATATTAAAAATAAAACATAGACTGATATTTGTCTAATGTCTGGAGTCCTTTAAGGAAGTAGCCTATATACGTTTCAATAGATGTATTTTCTGAGAATTTTTATTTCAAGTTTTGACTGCAAATGTCACGTACATAATGCTGGACTTCCCCAATTTTAAATAATTTATCCTCAACTAGTTTTGTGGTGTAGGTCTACGTACTGTATTTTATAATGTTAACTTCAAATAATACTAATAGCCTAATTTAAGGATAAGGCAGCATTGGATATGGACGGTAAGGAGAATAACGCTGGAGTTGGAAGAGGTGTGTCGCGATTCTGTAGGTTTGTGGATCTGAGTCGTGTGGCGAATCGCGATTTCGGTTTCATATTGCATATCGTTAGAAGCCCCAAAGTTAAGTTCTACTTAGTTATTTTGGTGAAAGTAACTCAAAAGTAATACATGAGTAATGTAACGCATTACAATTCTGGGACAGTAATATTGTAAGGTAATTAATTACTTTTAAATAACAGTAACAAGTAATACCTAATGTATTACAGTTTGGAAGTAACTTGCACAACACTGCTAATAGTGCGCTCTCGACATTTGACAGGAAATAACGCCATATTCTGCAGCATCAACCTTCCCTGTAGCGTAACACCAGAGCACTGCTGTTTGATTGACCCTCGCCTCACCGTCGCCGCTTACAAGTGCAACATTGTAAAGGGTTCGTCTGAAACAGTGTCGCGCAGCGTAACGTACGTTCCAATCGTTGTGTAATTAAATACATCATTATGACGGTATATTAAAAATGAACATCGTAACAAAAATATACACCGGTTTTCAGTATGAACTGGTATACCGCCCAGCACAGCGGTATATGGTCAATATGTTATTTTAATGTTGATCGAGCTTACAGCTAGTATCGTATAGCAAACGAACTAACACATTTAAATGCCGTTTAGTGTGATAGAGTAACGTTAGAGCAAGTGAAGCAGCGCTGCGTTACCTCACAAGTTTCATTCGTCTAATAAACTGACCCGTGTGAGTAATCCAGCACTCGCGGGTAGTTTGGTGGAATTAAATGTCCTTATCCTTTTGTATCCGCGGGACTCGCATGTGATATCTGTCTCTTTAGCAATCGCGACCTGCTTCATAACACTGTAATGTTAAAAAACATCAATGTTTGCACTCGTCCATAAACATTATTAGATCCATCAAGTCCCATCATTCAGCTCATCACTGCGTCATCAACCTACGGCTGTGTTACTGTTGGAAACTGCGCCCTCTTGTGGAGAAAAAACTACATATTGTGCCTTTAACTTTAACCTTTAACCGTACGCCTATAGATGAGATCTGAGCGGCCTCGTCCACAACCCTTGTGAAAAGAAGTGTATTGAATGTTGAATTCATTGAATGTTTTAAAATGTTATAATATTGCTGAAATAAATATCTCTTAAAGGACTGCACTTGTATTTATGTTTCATCAATATGCTTTTAATCAATTCGTCTTAAACACATTTTGTCATGCTTTAAAGTAGTATTCTTATTTTGATGGGTCGACTTGATTGAGTTGAACTTTAACTGTAGTTTGTTATCCGATATTACATTTAAAAGTTAATATATTTGAAATGTACTAAATTGCATCTTTATAAATGTGTAATTACAAATATATTGATGGTCTGACGGATGCATGTTTATGACAACTGCCATTAAGTGACATTGTTTGAGATGTCTTTGATATGACACCTTGACCATAAATATGACATAAACATGACATAGTAGATTAATTATCAAACTTAATAAACCACTTAGCTTTATGGGTTAACATTACATTCAACTGTCATGTGGTTGGCTTTGACATTGGCTGTCATGAGGCCATTATAACTGTGTCATGAATATTTTTCGTGACCTACAGTGGTACACATTGAATTTGGCATTAAAAAGTTATAATGGTCTTATGACAGCCAATGTCAACACCAACCACATGACAGTTTAATGTAATGTTAACCCATAAAGCTAAGTGGTTTATTAAGTTTGATAAATAATCTGCTATGTCATGTTTATGACAATTTATGTTGTCTTAGTAATGCCAAGTTGTCATGGTCATAACTGAGTGAATGACACGTTATGCTCATATTAATATTGTCAGTCTTATGCACACCCCTTCAAGTAAAGTGTTACCGTATATTCCTTTAAAGTACAGGTATATTATTTCTGTAAAAAATACTCTTTTCCAAAGTATGCTAAAGTGTACTTTCAGGACCCGCAGAGCACAGAGAGCATCATGGGAGGAAGTGTGGTGGTCTGCTAAGATAATGAGAAAGACAAAGCCCACAACGGACGGACGGGGAGCCATCTCTGATGTAAAATCAAGTCCTGATTCTTCGTTTCAAAGCCAAACCAAAAATATAGAGTGGGGTCCAGACAGACGTTCACTTTTCCACGAGCCACCGCAGCGATCATAAAACACACACTCATGGCCATTCTATAATTACGCATACACAAGGAATACAGATCGAGCGTGCAGCGTCGCGTGTGAACTAAATCACCAAAACAGATGCCACTGATCTGGAGCGGGGAGATGACCTACGACCTCTACTTCTCTTCAGGTCCTCCACTCTTCCCACCAGTGGCGTCACTGTAATCTACTGTGCAAACATAAGTGATAAACATCATTTCTGGAGATTGAAATAAAGCTAAAGCAACTAAAGCTGAAAAATTCAACATAACTAAAAGTGAAGTAACTGAAATGGCTAAAACTTACACTATATATAATACTAAAGTAACACTGTTTCCTACAAGTTCAGTGTAGAGGAAATAAAATAGTGTGTTTTACTACTTAAGTTCTTCCCTCACAGTTCGGTCATTCAGTGTGTTACATTAAGTGTGTGTGTGTGTTATTTGTAGAATTATCATCCGTTACAGTCAAGATAAATCCAGCCAGGACACAGAATAATATGTCGGATAGGAAGCTTTTTTAAAAAAATAACAATAAATATTTTAGTTATTTGTTGGAAAACAGCGCATAAGTCCAATAGACAATTTTTATGATAGATTTAAGGTGTTTTATGGATCTCAACAGCTCCTGTCCCCAATTCTCTTTCTTTCTTCGAAGCAGTGTGAACATTTTGCTAACTATCCTCTTTTTGACTGACACAGAGAATCACATAAGTTTAGAATGACTTGAATATCTAGTTCAGTCCTGAAACGCAGGCCTTTAAATGCAATTCGCAAGCAATCGCATGGCACGAGCTGATTGGCCTCTGCTGATCCTGCTGCCAATCAGATCGCTTGCTCAGCATTTGAATAGTCTGGTGTTTGCTGTAGGCTAGTCCTCCGTCCTTATTTTAAATAAAACTGCAAAAATGTATCTTCTATATATGAAGTAGAAGTTATAGATGAATTTTGAACAATAGCCGTTCTTGTCTTATAGGACAAGCTTTTTTGATCCACTTCAAATGTTGACTACTCCCTAAAAAATGCTGGGTTCTTTCAACCCAAATTTGGGTCAAATATTTAAATATTTTAAAACATATTTTATTTAAAAAGCGTAACCAAACGTTTGGGTTTGTCCATTTTTTGACCCAAATTTGGGTTGAAAAAACAACCCAGCATTGTTTTAGAGTGTACACTTCAGTTCAGTTTCAGTTTATGATCCCCTAAGGGAAGCTTATCTTGCATCAGGTCACACAACAGGTAAACACCACATACACATACCAATAAACAACACAAACTACTAATTAAAAAAACGTCACGATGTTATTATTGAAAACAGAGGGGTATTATTCATTTCTGTAAATACCCGGCTACGTGTAAATGTGGCCTCCATAAGCAGTCGCAAGTCCATATTGTGCAGCCGTTGAGAAAATAGTATAACCAAATACATATTCAATAACATGCCATCCAGAGAGCTGTCATGATTTAAAATAATGAAATCATTTTCATTTTTGGGTGAACTATCCCATGTTGACTTGGATGTTTTAAATAAAAGACATGAATAAAAGGAAGAATTTCTCACATTTTAGAGGTGAAATGAGCAAGGGGACCCATAAATAATGAACCCGTCTATATTCGGCATATGGAAAGAGACATGCTAGCCAAGCTAAACCAAGCAACAAGGACACACACCACATAATTGAGAGTCTGAGGCAGTTTGAAGCCTGCACTTAGTTTTTACTTTTACTCCTCTTCCCCATCGAGACACACACACAGTTTCCATTAGCTCAGATATCCTTGACAGAACCGAAACCATTGATGTATTTCAGATCATCCCAGACCGCGGTCGGACTCAGAGTCTCGCGAAGGTCGGAGACGGGACACACGTGAGGGCTTTATAACCTATAACCTGAAATCCATCATTAAACAGAGTGTGGTGTGCAGTCGATCTGTTTACCTTGTATCTGGGGTATGTAGGGCGCCAATAATTTCCCTCTTTTCTTTTCATAGCCTTTTTGTGTGATGTCACCTACAGAGAGAGAGAGAGAGAGAGACAAAGGGATTGTGATGAATCATGTATTCTGTGTTTGTAAAGCTGGCATCACAGTCCTGGCACAGCGGGGCACGAGAGCGTCCAGCGGCCCGTAAACACACAGCTAACACACATCCATTCCCGGGATAAACACACACGTATCACTGAGGCCTCCAGCGCTTTCGCTAAAGAAACATCTACCTGGTCAGATCATCATAAGGGTCATGTGACACTGAAGACTGGAGTAATGATGCTGAACATCACAGGAATACATTACACTTTACTATATATTTACATAGGAAACTACGGAGGCGTATTGCATTCACTTGAAGAAAAAAAAATCTACTCTGTTTTTCTGAATTAACGAGTTAATTTTTCATGAGAAAAAAAAATTTGCTCTGTTTTTCTGAATTAATGAGTTAATTTTTCATGAGAAAATTTTTTTTGCTCTGTTTTTCTGAATTAATGAGTTAAATTTTTATGAGAAAAAAGTTTTTGCTCTGTTTTCCTGAATTAATGAGTTAATTTTTCATGAGACAGAAAAAAATGTGCTGTTTTTCTGAATTAACGAGTTAATTTTTCATGAGAACATTTTTTTGCTCTGTTTTTCTGAATTAATGAGTTAAATTTTTATGAGAAAAAAGTTTTTGCTCTGTTTTTCTGAATTAATGAGTTAAATTTTTATGAGAAAAAAGTTTTTGCTCTGTTTTCCTGAATTAATGAGTTAATTTTTCATGAGACAGAAAAAAATTTGCTGTTTTTCTGAATTAATGAGTTAATTTTTCATGAGAAATTTTTTTGCTCTGTTTTTCTGAATTAATGAGTTAATTTTTCGTGAGAAAAAAAGTTTTTGCTCTGTTTTTCTGAATTAACGAGTTAATTTTTCGTGAGAAAAAAAGTTTTTGCTCTGTTTTTCTGAATTAACGAGTTAATTCATAAAAAAAGAGCAAAAAAAAAATCCATGAAAAATTAACTCATTAATTCAGAAAAACAGAGCAAAATATTTTTTTCTCATGAAAAATTAACTCATTAATTCAGAAAAACAGAGCAATTTTTTTTTCTCATGAAAAATTAACTCGTTAATTCAGAAAAACAGAGTAGATTTTTTTTTCTTCAAGTGAATGCAATACGCCTCCGTAGGAAACTACTAATAATAAAAATAATGTTTCTGTTTGTACTGTATTTAGTACATGGTCAAATATGAGAGACACTAATCTTTTAGAAGAGACTTAGGAAACAAACCTTCAAACTTAAAAACATGACATTTAACGCACTGCGCAAGTCACTGCAGCAGATGTTGAATAAATCAGAATTATCGGAGATTTATGGAATTTTTACACCAAACTTCATAAATACGTATTGAAATCCCAGTCCGCTGACACAGTTGGAGTGGTTTTCCTCCGGCTGATATTACTGACGGCCGTCTGGCCTCGCAAACACACGCTTAATAAACAGGCTGTCCGACCGGCACACATGCTATTTTATAAACTACTGGAGAGCTTTCCCATCAGTAATGCCACCACACACACCGCCACACGCTGGCACACTTCATTCACTCCTCAATCACACCAATGAGGAATCAACACATAAAGCTGAAAACAGCAATACTGAGTGCTTACGGACTGATAAAAGCAGGAGAGACGCCTCTATGAGACGCCTGACAGGTCCTATAGCAAGTGATTATTGACACCAAACACAGGCCAAACGACCAACCAATCGGGTCCCAGAGACTAGATCATAGTATTATGACAGTGAGAAAATTCATGGATCGTCAGGAATCAGAAATTAAAATTCTGGCCGATACCAATTAATATTGATGTGTTTTTTTGTAGGGATGGCCAACGATTAATCGCGATTAATCGCATCCAAAATAAAAAATTGTGTTTACATAATAAATGTGTGTGTAGTGTGTATAATTAATTTGTATATCCACACATGCACGTATATATTTAAGAAAAATGTGTTATTAATATATCAAATATTTATATTTATATATAATATTAATTGTGAATAAATATATATAAAATATATACATGCACATATTTCTTAAATATATACATGCATGTGACGGTATTTATACAAATTAATTATACACACTACACACAGATATATTATGTAAACACAAACTTTTATTTTGGATGCGATTAATCGCGATTAATCGTTGCCCATCCCTAGTTTTTTTTTGTGTGTGTGTGTGTGTGTGTGTTAACTGAAAAATGGCTGATTTGTCTAAATAAATAAAAAATAAAACAACTAACAATAAAACGAACATCAATCAATTGATAAACATATAAAAAATAATGCTAAAAATCTAATATTAAAACTTTATGCTGTGCAAGTAAATTAAAAATGAACACTAAAAACCTTAAATCAAACAGCAGATACCGATAAGCTTCAAAAATCTTCATCTTAAAGCCGATAACCGAAAAATGAAAGCCGCTGTCACGGTTATAGAATTTCCCTTGCGGTAATGTTGAGTGGCTCAATAGCGCGATATGCGGTATTACCGCCATTTATTTATTTATTTAATTTATATGTATTTGTTGCTATATAAATAAAGTTTACGATGTGGACAAAAACGAGGACATTTTCAGTAACCAATGTAACCGAAACTAAACAGCGTCTACAGTATATGCGCATTGAAAGACTTTCACTCAGCGCGCATATTGTTATGACAACGGACTTTGAGCAAGTCATTGAACCGTTCATTCAACGAACACGTTTAAAAAAGCTGATTCATTAAAAGAGATGTAAAGAAACAAGATGTAAATTATTTTTAACTTTGAGGTTCAACTTTTCAAGGCTCAGCTGAGCAGCAATGCGTCGCATGGGCAACGCTGAAGCTGATGCTTCACTTATTAGAGACCAATATAGCATTGATTCAATGCGTGACTCGCTGATTTTATGCTGTGGGATGCTGACCAGCGCTGCTGCTGTTGCGCATTTATGGGAAAATACCCGTGAAGAGAACGTTAAAATGATGATGCGACAAATATTTCGCTTCCCTTTGACACGACAAGCTTTTCACGACTTTAAAGACAGACGCAGGTAATCGCACGCGCTCTGCCGATCTCTCTCATTCACTGTCTGTGTGAAGCCTACACATCACCATGATAAACAGTCTTGTTATCATCATGAACTTGTTTAACATTCAATACACATTCATTAAGTTCATAACAAGCCTTATAAAAAAAACGTGAATATCGCGGTTGCCGCGGTTACGTGCAATCCTCTGCGGTTGACTTGTCAGAAGCGCGGTACTACAATATTGCGGTTACCGCGACAGCCCTAGCCGTGAGGACTGAGAAGTAAGTTGGATGCTGGGAAACGTGTGAAGCCTTGTGTCGGGATGCTTATTCCCATGTTATCCTGCATCACCCTGCTCCGCTGCAAGATCCCAAAGAAGCTTTTCTCTTCTAACAAAAGCCATATTGATTCAGCGTGGAGGCCACGGCCCTGCTGACTGACACCACTAAAGAAAAGAGAGACTCCCAAATACATTCCCTTCCTCGAGCCTTTCCCAGCCGCCCGGAGAGGAGGAGGAAAGCCTCGGAAACACAGGAGGGGGGCGCTGGGAAAACATCACACTCCAACAGCTGGGTCACCAATGCACACGTCTAACCTGCCCTTCCCAACAGCCAGCACTGTCCTGTACAGATACGGCAAGGCCGACGCCGAAGGCTGGAGATTACGGATGCAGCGAGATCAACATTTCGACCGATAACCGATAATTCTTTATATCTGAAAGCCGATAACCGATATATTGGCCGATAAATCTAATTCCAAATTTTTATATACGAGTTATTTTGAGAGCCTGATCACAAAAACAAAAGTCTCATCATTATGTCCCAAACACATAATTATTGTGAAGTTCTTATTATAATATGTAGCCGATATGACAGGCTTGCGCTGCACATGTTGCACTGAACTGTATTTGTCTTTTTTGAAGTGATTTCAATCCTATTTCAAGCAATTGAAACTAGAGCCAGACCGATATATCGGCAGACCGATATTATCGGCCGATATTAGGCATTTACCAAACTATCGTTATCGGCAGTTATAATGTCTGATAAATGAATATTTCAAAAATAAAATAAAAACGGACGAAACACGCTTGAACCATGTCATGACTGTTAGAGACGTATAGTTTGTCCACCAGAGGGCACTCTACACCGTCCCTGTTGGCAACACTCGTTGAGTTGGTCACGATACATACATCGCTTGAATAACAATTAAAAGATCATCACCATCAGTTCTCTAAACTCAAATAAGCATGACAACATTTGTGACTATCATATCATGTCTAGTTTAAAATAAATAAATAAATAAAATAAAATATCGGCCGATATATCGGAATATTGGATTTTAAAACCCAAAAATTTTTGTATCGGTATCGGCCTTCAAAATCCTTTATCGGTCGGGCTCTAATTGAAACCCATCATGTTGAACAGAGTCTCAGCTGGAGGAAATGTATTATTTAACGGCTTTAAATATCGGTCAAATCTTCTTATCGGGCCGATAACGATAACAATAGAAGTAAACATATATCGGCCGATACCGATATGGTGGATCATACGTCGCTAGAGAAACGACTGCGGACCCTCACAGACGAGGTGTGATCGTCAGACAGACACACAAAGTTCAGTGTGTGGAGTGTGTGTGAGTCACCAGCAGGAGTTGAGAGAGCTACTGTCTCCAGGATCATGAACACAATGCATTACTGTAGCAGAGATCGGGCAGCTGACCTGACGCATGCATTATCTGCTCACACACACACACACATACAATAGAGGGCTATTCTCCTGAGCACACACTCTGTTACAGGACACCGTCACTCATCCAGGACATGTACAGAATGCAGAGTCGCACTTTATACTAGATTAAGGTCTTACCTAATGTGTCCTTATACATTTGATAAACAATTAATATGTACATGTCAGTGGATTATGAAGTACTTGCATTTAACCTGCATTTGTTGTTCCACTGTTACCCCAAAC